GGTGCTCTCTTTCCAGCTCACCCCCACACCAGGCACTGGGGCCTCTCCTACCACCTCACCCCCCCCACCCAGGTATGTGGCACTCAATGAGCCGCCTTTTGGGATTGTCCTTCACGACAGATGTTCTGTGACAACCGTGAAGAGCTTGCTGATGCTGTCATTTGAATTCTGGGTTCCTAGCTTCTCTCTATTTCTTTCTTAGTACAGATTCATTCTTCATTAACTGATCTACCTGCCACAGTTTGCATTTAGCCCCACTTAGCCAGAATCCACATGAAATTTAACACATGAAATTGGGGTCCAGCTGATTGTCAATAAAAATGTTCACTTGAAAGCCATCTTCATGGTGACTGCTCTGGAAGGTTCTCTGCGGGGAAAGTAAACCCTCAACTGGCCAAAGTGCTGGAAGGGCAGCTAGAAATACCTGCTAAGACTCAGGTGCTTCCCAGTGCAGCATGAGGTTCACCTGCCTGCCCCGCCCTCCGTGCATCCCCACCCCCTAGCTCAGTCACCCTGCCATGCATCTCAGCCACCCTGCGGGGCCCAGCTCCTCACCAACAGCCCACCACATTAGCAGTCAGATGGCACAGCTGCTCTCTCCCGAAACGAGGCCATAGCTCACTCAGAGAGTTTGAGGCGTGTGGGGGTGTGCGTCGGGGCTAGAATCCCTGGAGTAAGTATATCGCCAGGTTCCTCCTTCCTCACCCCAGGGAGGCAGCACTGTGAAACTAAGGGCCCTGAGGTGTTGGCATCAGACAAGGGCACCTCAGTCCCCTCTGCCTCCGGGTGGCATGGATCACAGAGGCCCAGCCCTGTGTGGGAGAGCGGGAGGAGGGCGGAAGCAGCCACACTGTACCTGTGAGCGGGAAATATCTGCTTCCAAAATACTGCTGATGGTGTCATCTGAGAGGTGGGCAGAGCGAAGCTCCTCAGTGAAGGCGGTGAGGTTCTTCATCAGGTCTCTCACTCTCACATCTGAGAAACAGCAGCGGGAGAAACAATACAGTAACGGATGCCGGGGCTGGTACCGAAACGAGGTTCGATGCTAACACCTGGCAAGGCCCATTTCCTCCCGCAGCCGCAGCCACGCCAACACCACGTGGTCTTACTGACCGAGCCCTGAGCCCCGCCCGTCCCTCGGAGCCGGTAGGCTCACCGGTTCACCGGAGCCCAGCAGCCCCGGGCTCGGCGGCTCTCCCCGCTCTCTCTGAGACCCGCGTTACAGATTTCCTCCGGGAAGAGGTTCCCTTAGGAGCAGGACCACGTGCCTCCCTTCCCTCCGTGCATCTACTTATTGACCGCTTTCCACCAGAGCAGGGTCATGGACTGCCGGGGGCCCCAGGCCCGGGCACTCATGCCACAGGCGCCTGTGAACTGCCAGAGTGAGGGCCACGGGTCCCCGTGTGGCCTGGGAACAGGGTGGGTTTGGCAGCAGGATTTGAGGACCTGCCTCCTTCACCCCAAACCCCTCAAGCCGGCCGAGCTCTGAACTGTTATTAATCACAACAGCATGATTTTTCTCTTTTATGTTTTATTTTGATCATATTTTTGTGTGAGAAACTGAACTTCACTTTTAATCACACAACTTGGAAGAACCACATACTTACCCACAGCTCCTGTGCAACTGCTAGGAGAAGTCATCAAATTCCCAGGAAACAAAATCTTTTCGAGCCTCTGGGCCAACCTGAAATGGCAGAAATTAAAGCTGATTTACACAAGACGCCACGACAGAGGTGGTGCCGGGTGGGGAGCCCTGCCTGGCCCCCGGAGGGGAGCGACCACAAGATGGCATCTCCACGGAGTCCTCACACGAGCAGACATGTCTCCTGGCACTCTGTGTGGGCGACCACTCAGTGACACTGCGCCCCAATCCTTGCTGCAGGGCCCCCCCACTGGGTGTGATGAGTCTGGGGAATAAGGGTGCACATTGCCCTCACCGGTGGCTCGGGCGGTTGGAGCATCGTCCTGTGCACAGAAAGGTGGTGGGTTTGATTCCAGTCGGGACACATACCCAAGTTGTGGGTTCCATCCCCAGTCAGGGTGCATGCGGGAGGCAACCAATTGATGTTTCACTCTCACACCACTGTGTCTCTCCCTCCCTCCCTCTTCCCCTCTCTCTCAAGTCAGTAAGTGTGTCCTCCGGTGAGGACTAAAACGAAGGGGTGCATGGAACACAGGGATGTCTCAGGAACTAGGAGCCGGAAGAATGCCTCACCCCAGCAGGATACCAAGTGCCCGATTTCCCCTCCGGTGGTTTGTACTTTGAGAACATAAAACAATGACTCCACTGTGAGGAAGTCCTTTGGGAAGCTCTGACTGTAGCGTCAGGTCTCAGCATTCTGATCTAAGCCCGCGACCACCACAAAGCCCGAGAGCCAGCGCTGCTCTCCCATCTCACAACACACGTTACTGTGCACACGGTAAGGGTGCGGCCCACGCTGCTGCCTGCAATCCGTAACTGGAAAAGGCAAGGCAGCGCCCACCTGAAGGAAACCGTGGTGCAGGGGGCCCACTGACATACGTGTGCAGGCGCCGCGGGGTCCAGTCCCACGCGGGCGGGCACGCACAGCCCCGGGCGGCGGCGCTCTCCAGGTGGCTCTTGAAGCGCCGCAGGGAGCGGGAGAGGTTCCCGCGGAGACCCTCACAGTCCAGCTGACCGGGCGCGGACCACACCTTCTCCAGGTCCTGGAACAGCAATGAGAGTCAGAACGCAGCTGAGTCAGGTGTCAGGTCTGAGCCCACGTGCTGGGAGGTTTCAGCTCATTTTCCCAGAACAAGAGAAACAGTGAGGAGCCAGGCGGTCCCGAGAACACGGCTGGAGGAAGGCATGGCCCTGGGGCTCCGCATGACACCCCTCACAGGAAGGCACCTCCAGTTCACAAGTGATAACTACCTGCAGCCCTGACTCCCCACACCACCGTGCACACCGTCAGCTATCTCGGGGGGCCCACACTGCTCCCACCACCGTGCACACCGTCAGCTATCTCAGGGGGCCCACACTGCTCCCACCACCGTGCACACCGTCAGCAATCTCGGGGGGCCCACACTGCTCCCACCGCCGTGCACACCGTCAGCAATCTCGGGGGGCCCACACTGCTCCCACCGCCCACTGCTTCCACCGCCGTGCACACCGTCAGCAAGCTCAGGGGCCCTCACTGCTCCCCACACCCAGCACCAGCAAGCTGCACGGGCCAAGCCCATGGACATGAAACTCTGAAACATGAAAGACAACCAACCTGGTAGAAGTCATGCAGCACAGGGACCCCCTGCAGAGCAGACACAATGAGCCACCTCATCCCACCTGGCTGGCAGCTCTGAGCAGCACACAGGGCATCGCTGGCCAAGGATGGGTTTTCTGCCAGAGGAGACAGAGAATAATTACTCACCCCTTTTCTCCAGAAGGAGCTGCTCTCCCGGTGTCATTTCTTAAAGACTCAAAGTGATGCAAATTCAGAGATTTCTTAAATCATCAAAATGCACATTGGAACACGAGGGGAAAACTGTGGCTTTTCAGTTCCAAATGTAACTAGTTACTCAGTTTCCTGGGCCTACCCAATGGACAGAAATGCGTTTCCCTCAGCCATGTCCCCACAGTGGTCCCTCTTCTGCACCCGCTGGGCAAGGTACTCACGTACTCTGAGCTTCTCTCCTCATTCCCTCCGTTTTCTCTGAAATCTTGCTTCTCTCCCCATTCTCTACATTTTCTCTGCCCTCTCACTTCTCTCCTCATTCCCCCCATTTTCTTTGATTTCCCACGTCTCACTATTTTCTCTGATCTCTCTCTTCTTGACTCATTCTTTCCATTTTCTCTGATATCTAGCTTCTCTCCCATTCAAATTACTCAGCAAAAATTCAAAGCCATGACTCAGCAAAAAGGCAAAGCCATGACTTGGCAGAAATTCAAAACCATGACTCAGTCAAAAAAATCAAGAGCCTAACTCAGCAAAAAATCAAAACCAGACTCAGCAGAAATCAATATCATGGGTTAGGGCCAGGGTTAGGGGATTGGGATTAGGGCTAGGGCTAGCATTACAGTTAGGGTTAGGGTTAGGGTTTAGGATTTAGTGTTAGGGCTTAGGGTTAGGGCTTGGGTTTAGGACTAGGGCTAGGGCTAGGGTTTAGGGGTTAGGGTTTGGGTTAGGGTTCAGATTCTCACCTACTGTCCCTGAGCAGAGATGGCAGTGCCCTTTCAGTCCCAAAAGGAAGGACAGTGGCACTGATCAAGGTTAGGGCACCCAGCCTGCATACTCATAGGTCACATCCAAAAATCTCCCCACCTCACATCCTCACAGCCATCGCTCCTCCTGACAGCACCGCTGGGTCTCCGCCCAGCTCATCCCTGCACTGCCTTCCTCCCTGAGCCTGGGGCTCCCCCTAAAGGGAGCTGCTGTTATGGGGCCTCCGAAGGCTCAGGTCACACGTAGGGCCCCCACAGCTCACTCCCCAGCTCCAGCTCCCCAGTCCCCTGCACCTCCTGCACTGTGCTGCCTCCGCTCCGACCTACCTTTCGGGGCCGGCCTCAGAACACCTGCACCCCCGGCACAGGGCCTTGCACTCCTGCCCCCAACTGTGCGGACCGACAGGGGCTCATCCCAGCTGCATGGACCCCCGGCACGCACACGCTGGGCCAGACTGTGCAGGGCTGTGCTCACTTCTTGTCCAGGTCACTGTTCTCACGCACTCATTTCCGACATAATTCAAGTATTCGATCCGCAGGAGGAAATGACAGCTCTCCTCCTGCTTCAAACTCAGCTCAGTGGCATGTTAATAGCTGCTCCATTTCCAGTAGGAAAGTCACTGGGCTGACTGCACCCCCGGATGCTGAGGAGCAGCCCTGCCCGCTGTGGCCCATTCGGGCCCGAATCCTACCGGTACCTTCTCTGGGCCTGTCACCGCCTCCTGCTCTACAGGATGAAGCGGCCGTTTGATACAGAAAGGAGCGCGACAGGTGTTTTTCAGGCAGCTTACAGATGACATACTTGAGTTTTCTTGTTGTGAAATGTAAAAATTCAAAATTAACTTTCTGTTACTAATGTAACTTCAAGTATGCTATATTAATTTAGCAGCTGCAGTGCAGAATGACAAAACGCACATAAATTCAGGTATTGTTGAATGTAAATTCCTTCCGCTGCCCTCCCACTAGCTGACTGAAATGTCAGCATCATCACGCCTCCGAGGTGGCTGGGCGCAGGGTGCCACGTAAGCAGGCGGAAGAGCAATAAGCGCCACCCGCACAGCTTCTCCCGGGAGTGCCTGGGCACCGAGGCCCTGCACTGACGGTGCTGCCCAGGCCTCACACCCCCACCCGGAAACAGACTCCCTTTCAGAAAACAAGACCCTCCGTGGCCAACGGGTTTCCTGGAAGGCAGCCGGGCATTTCCTTCAGCAGCAGCACAGAGTGGAGAGCTCACTGAGATACGCAGGAAAGGACTTGGCAAGCAGGACCTCAGTAGACGAGTTAATTCATTTACAATCCAAACATTTCGTCCAGGGGTCCTCAAACTACGGCCCACGGGCCACATGCAAATACAAATATTGTATTTGTTCCCATTTTGCTTTTTTACTTCAAAATAAGACATGTGCAGTGTGCATAGGAATTTGTTCATAGTGTTGTTTTTTACACTATAGTCCGGCCCTCCAACGGTCTGAGGGACAGTGAACTGGCCCTGTTTAAAAAGTGTGAGGACCCCTGATCTAGTCATTGATTGCACAGGTGCTGGGGAGGACGGGGACGGATGGAGTAAGCGGCAGACCCTGCCCTCAGGGAAGTCAGACGGGGGTAGGAAAACCTGAAACATGAGCACTGAGTGCCCTGCATTCAGGTGACCGCGTGGGTCCCTCGCACACCTGGGGCAGGGGAGGAAAGAGCATCCTCTGTGCCAGGCACAGGATGTGCACCAGGTGCCGATGTGGCGGCTGCCTTCAAGGAAGACGACTCTGATAGAGGAGGGAGCTGTACCAATACTAGTGGGCGCCTCGGCATTGCATTTGACAGAGGTCTGCTCAAGCCACGGCTAGCGAAGGGTGGAGGCAGGCCTCCTGGAGAGCCACCCCGGCTCCGACCCCTCAGGGCCTCGGCCGCCAGGCTAGGAAGGCTGCATGTTACGCTCAAAGAAACTAGGGAGGTGTCCCCCGTCTCGCTGACAGCCAGCCCTGGAGACCGGGGCGTGAGCAGCACTTCCCACGGAGCGGCCCACCTGTGAGCATGAGCAGCACACGCAGAACCAGTGTCTTCGCTCTCTGCAGGGTCCCCATGGCTGCTGTGGGCTTCCAAGGCGGCTGGGAATCCTGGCACATTCTGGCAACACTCGGGAGAGAAAGAAATGCCATTGAAGGGTGAAGGTGCGGGCCACGGTGTCCTCCCTGTGCCCGGAAACAAGTGGCAGCACACAGGTGGGGACTCCTGGCCCCGGCACCGCGCACACCGCCAGGGCCTCCTGCTCGACCGCAGGCACGGCTTTCAGCCTCGTGCTGCCACGCCAGGACCAGGTGAGCTCAGTGCTGTGACTAAACGCACTGGGACGGGCCGCTGCAATCCTCGAGCTGCTGAAAACGGGTTTCTGCGGAGTTGCCATGAGCCCCTGCAGGTGACAGAGTCTGAAGTCCCTGACACCTCTGAAGGCCAGCCTCAGGGGAGCCAGACGGGAGAGCCGAGCATTGCTCCAGATACGAGAGACAAAGGTCAACTTCTCGGCTACAAGAAAACATAGCCGAACTGGAAGAGAAGGTGGGCTGAGCCTAGTTATTACTGAACTATGTTTTAGCCACAGAAGGACAAACATAAGAATTTATCTTTCTGGCAAAAAAAAAAAACATGACGGTGTGTAGAGCCATTTACTAATCACCATCAGGTAATATATATTTTGGTAAATCATGAGATTTAATTATTATATTTCAGTTGTGCCACATGATCGGGGCCTGGGAGCAAGAATCACTATTCAGTCTCTGCACAGCCATGAGAGTGACTTTCATTCTTGCTCAGTAGATGTGTTGTTCTGAGTATGACAACGCACTGCCCCTGTCTCAGGGTCCCAGCCTCTAAATGAGGAGTGAGGTCGAGGCCAGGATGTCAGATGACAGCATGGCTGCAGAGCACCGGCAACCATGCTCATCACACACAGGCTTCGACGGGCAGGTTCCCACCAGCTCCCAGGGAGGCGCTGGTCCTGTGAGCTGACACTGGGAGACAAGTGCTCGGGTCTCCTTGCACCAAAAGGCTGCAGGTTCAATTCCCAGGCAGGGCACATACCTAGGTTGCGGGTTTGATCTCTGGTTGGGGCCCTTATCAGAGGCAACCGATTAATGCCTCTCTGTCACTCTCGTTCTCTCCCCCCCTCTCTTCCAATCTCCCCCTCTCTCTCTAAAAAATCAATAAAAACTTATCCTCAGGTGAGGATTTTAAAAAGAAGAAGAAAGGGTAGCCTGGGACAGCCAGAGCATCTCTGAGACACGGGAGCAAGTCCTGCAACCTCAGGCAGCAGACGACTCCGAGCCTGACACATGCAGGGCTGAAGCTTCTCAGAACAGGGTTCCCCGACCTACCATCCAGGGGCGGGGGCAGTGCTTGGAGTGAGTCAGCCAGGTCGTGTGAGGTTGAATCTAAAGAGGGAGGAAGCCAACCGCTGCCTGGCCCCTCGCGGTGGCCCGGCAGTACAGCTAGAAGCAGCGCTTCCTGTGGGAGGCGTGTGGCCTCCATCTCACCTGACACAGCGTGAGCTGTGGCTGCTCGAGCACATGAACAGAAAGGCTGTGTATCGACCGAGTCTTGGGACAGGTGAACAAAGTCAAGAGGCTTTTACCGTTGAAAATAAAATAACTTACCTTTGAAAATTTTTGGATAAATTCAAATTCTATTTGCAAATAAATGAGTCAGACAGTGAAAGAGACTGGACCTGACTCGCGCCAGGGAAGCTGCCTTTGGACAGTAATGAAGATGAAGTGAGGACATGGGCCCTGGTCAGTGTGCGTCCTGCCTGTCCTGTGGTAGGAAACAGCGAGTGAGTGTGAAATACCTTTCATCTGCCAGGACTTCCTGCCAGGACTCCGTCCACGCAATTAACCCCTTCACGCAGTTCTCACATGGTGCCGGTGCCAGTGCCAGTGTGAGGTCAGGAGAGGCGGCCCTCTCTCTCGGGGCCTTCTCCCCTTCCTCTGACGTGACACTCCCTCTAGCGGCTGCGTTAAGGAAAAGCTCCAGGACGGGCTGGAGCGCAGTTTCTGCAGAACTTGTCCACTGAGGGTGGCTCAAGAGCAGCTCTTTCCGCAGGAGCGCTGCCCCGCTCAGCACGCTCCGGGCGGCTTCCTCCAGGTGCCGAGGCGTCACTGCCCGAATCAGAGAGGAGGTGAACGCCGAGGCTCCACTCCCGGCGCCTCCACGGGCGACCTCCACGGCTGTCCCAGCGGCTTTCAAAAGGGCGTCTGCATGCTGAGCCCACGTCAGCCACAGCTGAGAAACATTCAAGTCATCCTTCTCTAAGGGACCCCACAGAGCGACAGCCAGGTCAGCCACCATTCCCAAGAGGGGCCCCATGTCTGTGCTGTCTCGTGACCGCATTTCATCCAAAACCAGGGCCACTGCGTGAGCATCCCAAGGGAAACCATGTGTGGAAACGGGATTCGGACGTAGGAAGTCTGTCTGGTTGGTGATGTGATTTATAGAAATTAAGCAATCTAGGATTTCTTCCCATACGTTGACAGAATCCATAGGAAATATTTGCATTCCATTGTTAATTGCTACCAGAAGATGTTTCATGTCTCCCAAATTGATTTCCCCAGAAGTTAAAAATTCTGCAATTTTTTCTGAAATATCAGAAAAGTCCCTGGACTGGTTCACGTAGGACAATATGCTAGATGATATATTGAAAATACCAGAGTCTTGGGAAATATTAGGTTTGATCCCAATCATCCCAAAGGCCAAGTCCAGAAATGGCATCAACAACTCATTTATATTTTCAAATACTAACTGATCCACTTTTTTCAAAGCAGTTATTTCATTCACAACATTTCCAACATTCTGTTGCAAAACGGAATACAGAGAATCAAAGAATTTCATGGTGCCGTTGGTCCCCGAGACAGGATGAGTTTCCAACGCAGCGGCCACCTTCCGGGAAACTTCCCTGGAGAGCTGGAGCAGCCCCACAGTGGAGCTCACAGACGCGGCCAGGTCCCTCATTTCCACACCTGCGCTCACCAGCACGCCTAGGGCACGAGGCATTGCCGGGAGGGGTTCCGGGACGGGACGTCCTCCGCCAGCTCTTGAGGTAACACCAAGAAGGCTCTTAGTAGTTTCTGATGTTGCTCTGTTTCTTAGAGGGAATGCGCGGTTTGTGAAGGAAAGCAGATCAGTCAGGTTAGCAAATAGAATCTCTCGGAGGGAAGGACACGCGGCACGGAGGTCCTGGTTGGGAGAGTTTAAAAGAGAATCCATAACAGTTGCTATCTCTACTGAGGCTTCTCGCATAAGGTGAAGAGCTGCCTGGAGCTGGTGGCTGAGCTGGGAGAGGTTTGCAGAACTATTCATGTGGAAAAACAACTGACTTACCTGGGTAAGAAACTCCAAATTATTTTCAGTCTTATTTTTCACAGAAGTTTTACTTAGAAGAGCGTTAAATAAATCTCGCAGGAACTTCCATCCTCGGTGGTTATCAAAATAAAAGTCTGTGTGGTCTGACATGAACCATCCTTTGATTAGGTGATATACAGTCTCCTTCAAACTTGAAAAAATGCTCATCAATTTTTCTTCTTTCATGTAGGTAAGAAATTGGTCCACTTTCAGAATTTCTAAAACTTTATCCTTTGGGACAAAGCTGTAAATATATACATTTTTTATTTCATGTTTGGCAATGGAAAGATTAAAACAGACAGTTATTATTTTTGTTTTATACGCGCGTCATGGGGAGACATACTAACTGGCTGCTGATGCTAAAGTACATCGCCAACCAACACAAAAAAGCTTGTTGGCAGGCTTCAGCGGGAGGAAAGGGAGGAAAGGGAGGAAAGGGAGGAAAGGGAGGAAAGGGCGTATGGGAAAAACATGTGGCTGTTAGTTTAAAATGTTTGAATTTTGTCAATTCCCAAATATAAACATCACAGCACATAAACTGAAAATATTTAAACTCCTCAGTTGCAATTAGATAGTTATTACAATAATTTGAATTATGACCATGATTTATATGCTAAGTATTTAACCGTTTGGCTGCTGACGTATTTTTTCGGACATATGCCAAAACTGCGGCACTAATTGCGCGTGTGTGGGAAAAAATGTAAAACACTTTTTATACAATAAACTCACTTGTATTGCTTTGCAACAACAAAAATTTAAAAATACCAATTGTTTACATAAATTTGTTTTAAATAAGAAGAGCGCGATAGCGCTCCTTAGCAGTCAAACGGTTAAAAACTAATTTTAATTTCATATAACAGAATTTCATAATTATATTCATAATCAAAAAAGACAAGAAAGTAGAGTAAGTGACTAAATGCCAGGGGCTAAGCAGTTTCTATGTATGTTTAGTAGTTAAACAACAGTCATCAGTTACTTTACCCTGACGCTTCAGTAAGCTGTTCCCTAGGCCACAGTTCACTTCAAAGAGCTTTCACAGGGCCAGGCGCAGTGCTGCTCGTGGCAGGTGCGCCGCGGGAGGTAAAGTGGGCTGAATGTGTAACGACATGTGCTGCCCAGAAGCAGACTCACCTCATCCCTGCAACGATGTCGTGGAGGTCTTTCAGCAAAAGAGATGTTTTATCCTCAGAACTTTCCTTTTCTAAAAAGGTGAAGAATGTTTTCAAAAGCTGTCCCATGGACTCCACCATGCCTCCTGGAGGGAGAAGTACCCTCTCACCCTTTTCTAACGGTGTCTGGTTCAAGGTGAGGTTAATGAGATTCAGGATCTGAAGGTCAGTGTCACTTAAGTTCCAGGCTGCGTGTCGAGAGCCCGCAGCTAAATTATTGACTGAATTAATTAGGAAACTTTTCAAAAGCAACCTCGCAACTGAGAAATTGGTTGACTGTTCTTGGTTGAACAGTTGAGCAAGAAGGTCACTGTGAGAATCACTTCCTCTGGAAATGTTTTTGAGATAGTCCGAAAAGGTATTAATATCTTTAGCCAATGTTGAACTCTCACTGACCAGAAGGAGGAAGATTATTTGTATTATTCTGGAGTGTTCTTCACTTGCATGTTTACGAAGCCAGTTTTTTGTGACGGATGGAAAACCTTGGGTCGTTTCTGATGAAGGCAACGATGATGAATTCAGGCTTTCCAAAATGTGGACCAGTTGCTCAGTCATTTTCTGAAGAGCCACTGAGTTAATCATTGGAATCTCTTCCTTTATTTTAGAGAACAGGGTTCTTCTCTTGAAATTGAGGTTTGGATCTTTCATGGCTTGTTCAGACTCAAGCCACAGATCTTCAAACTTGTAAGCTGTTTTACTCTTTTTAATAAAACTTGATAGTGCTTCGAAATGCCTTCCTAGAAGGTTTGCATTCAAAAACGTCATGAATAGAGAGACTACAGAGCGAGTACTATTTCCTAGGCTCTCATCCCCAGAAAGTGAATTTATCGCCCTTCCCAAACTTAAGGGAAGGTTCCTAAGAGATGCCTCTGCGCCTTCATCGTTAAGGATCCTGTTTAAAAGAGCTAAGTTATCAAGAATGTTTTCATCTGATGTAGCTTTTGTAAAACTGACGTTTCTAAACTTTTCTATGATTTTTAAAGCAACTTGCTTCAGGGGGCCAGGGGGACAGAGTCCAGAGGTGCTACCCTTGCTCTGATTTCCAGATAGGACAAATGGAAACACCTTTCGCCTAAATTCTTGCACAGTTTTCACAAGCGAGGATTTCACGTGGAAGACTTCAGACAGCTCTAGAAGAATGGAGCTCCAGTCCACTAGCTCATGAATTACGCAGACCACTTTCTTAGTTATTTCCGTCCGTGAGCTTTTATTTGAACATTGTGAAACTTCAGCCGGGGGAGACAGGTGGAGGTGGTCAAGTATACTAGCCACTTTGCTGTAAAAG